AGGTTACCTTGTCCCTTGTCTTACCAACAAGAGGGTTTGTGACTCCTTGAACTAGTGCATGATGTGGAAGTTGATTGCACTTGTTCTTGCCAAATGATATGATTGAAGTATGTTGGCGGAGTCACCCTCAAGAACTCTCTAGTCTTCTTCTTCAGGATCCACATCATCTTGATGGGAATCCTTGGAGTTGTAGTTGTACTCGATGAAGTAGAACTTGATGTAGTTTTGGGAACCCACTTGACCAAGGCCTTAGGAGCTTCTTCAAATGCATCAATCTCCTCTTGAAGCTCATCCTTGCCTTTTTGCTTGTGGTCTTGTGGTGGAAGATCGTCTTGAGCTTGTGTCCCTTTGAAAGAAGTAGGATCATACTTCTCTTGTTGAGGAACAAACTTCGTCTTGGGGTATTGATCTTCTTCCCACTCAACTCCATTGGCATTGAACTTTCGTTCAAAACCAACACCTTGGTTCTTCCGGTGCCTTCCTTGCTTGCGTACAATTTCCTCGAATTGCTTACTCCCGGCAAGGCTCTTGTAAACACCTTTCTCTATGATTCCCTACAATAAGCTATTTTCTTGCTCAAGTGTAACTTGGCCAAGAGAATCATTAGTGGAATCAAGATAATTACTAGAAGCAACAACATTGGATTTAGCATGATTATTGTTACTACTAGAGGAAGAATCTTTCTTGTTCTTGTTACTAGACTTGACTTGAGGCATGTAAGTAGATAAGAGTAAACGCTTGGCAATGTAAGAAGAACTTTTCTTGCGAAGATCATCATTGATTGCTTTTAAAAACTCATGTTCTTGCTCAAGTTGAGCTTTTCAAAGCGCAACTTCTCAGGAGTCCTTAAAAATTATCGATGATCTCCTAAGATAGTTTCATGAGCTAACTTAGGAGTGTTAGTTCTTTAGTTAGGAGCTCAATATTCTCCTTATCATTGTCATTCATTTTATCTTGATTAGCATGATTAATTGACGTTTCATCATAGTATTCATCACTAGAGTTGTCAACAAATAAATCATCATCACCTAACAAGTCATCTTCATCACTATGGAAATCAACATACTTGGGGTGTGATACCTTTGGGCCTTTAGCCATGAAGCATCTTCCAAGTCCTTCATTTGGTGAATCACATATGTCGTAGGAGTTGGTTGATACAAGTGCTAGACCGGCAACACCTTCATCTTGAGTATATTCAGAGTCGGAGGGATAGCTTCTCTCTGAGTGATTGTCGGAGTCGGAGCCGGATACCCATTCACCAACATGAGCTTGATGTCTTTGTTTTGTGTAGCACCTTGATGACTTGTCCTTCCTTTCCGAATCCTTGCTTCTCCAGGATGCTCTTCGTTCATAACGATCATCTCTACTCCTTCTCTCTCTTGATGGTGATTCTTCTCTTCTACTTCTTCTTTTTGGAGAATCGTCTCTTCTTTTGTAGGGTGTCGTAAACTCATTGGAATAGTGTCCGTGTCTTCCACAATTGTATCAATTACGCTCACGACTAGAAGATCTTTTGTCATTGTAAGACCTTGACTTGGAACTTCTTTCCTTGCTTCTACTCTTGTAGAACTTGTTGAAGTTCTTCACCATTAGGCTCAATTCTTCATTGACGGTTTGTTCCTCACTTGATGATGTGGGAGCTTCACATGAGGCTTTGTAAGCACCACTTGACTTGTTGTGGAGCTCCTCCTTATGCTTGAGTGACATCTCATGAGCAACAATTCTTCCAATGACTTCCGTTGGCTTGAGATCTTTGTAATTGGGAATCATTTGGATCAATGTGCACACGGTATCATATTTGCCGTCCAAAGCTCTTAGGATCTTCTTGATGATGAATTTGTCAGTCATCTCTTCACTTCACAAGTCGGCAATCTCATTTGTGATAAGAGCAAGCCTAGAGTACATTTCAGCGACACCTTCACCATCCTTCATTTTGAACTTATCAAGCTGACTTTGAAGCACATCCAACTTGGATTCCTTGACGGAGTCGGTACCTTCGTGCATATCAATCAATGTATTCCAAATTTCCTTTGCATTCTCAAGACGGCTGATTTTGTTGAATTATTTGGGGCACAATCCGTTGAAGAGGATATCACAAGCTTGAGCATTGTATTGCAACATCTTCAACTCTTCCGCGGTAGCTTCGCGGTTCGGTTCTCTCCCTTCAAAGAATTCACCTTGCAAGCCAATACACACAATAGCCCAAACGGCGGGGTTATGTCCAAGAATATGCGTTTTCATCTTATGCTTCCAACTAGCAAAATTAGTACCATCAAAGTAAGGACCTCTACGATGGTAATTTCCCTCGCTAGACGCCATACTCTCCTAGGTTGTGAAACCAAGGCTATGACCACCAAAAGCCATGGAGATCAAAGCAAATGAAGACTAAGGCTCTGATACCACTTGTAGGATCGAAAGTATGTCTAAAGGGGGGGGTGATTAGACTACTTGACTAAATAGAAAACTAGCTTTTTCCCAATTTTAGTTCTCGGTAGATTTTAGCAACTTTAGCACGGTACAAGCAATCTTAACACAATTCAAGCAAGCATGCAAAGAGTATATGAGCAGTGGAAAGTAAAGCATGTAATTTGCAAGAATGTAAAGGGAAGGGTTTGGAGAGTGCAAACGCAATAGGAGACACAGATGTTTTTGTCGTGGTTCCGATAGGTGGTGCTATCGTACATCCACGTTGATAGAGACTTCAACCCACGAAGGGTAACGGCTGCGCGAGTCCACGGAGGGCTCCACCCACGAAGGGTCCACGAAGAAGCAACCTTGTCTATCCCACCGTGGGGTCGTCGCCCACGAAGGACTTGCCTCACTAGGGGTAGATCTTCACAAAGTAGGCGATATCCTTGCCCTTACAAACTCCTTGGTTCAACTCCACAATCTTATCGGAGGCTCCCAAGTGATACCTAGCCAATATAGGAGACACCACTCTCCAAGAAGTAACAAATGGTGTGTTGATGATGAACTCCTTGCTCTTGTGCTTCAAATGATAGTCTCCCCAACACTTAACTCTCTCTCACAGGATTTGGATTTGGTGAAAAGAAGATTTGAGTGGAAAGCAACTTGGGGAAGGCTAGAGATCAAGATTCATATGGTAGGAATGGAATATCTTGGCCTCAACAGAAGTGTAGGTGGTTCTCTCTCAGAAAATGTATGCTGGAAGTGTAGGCACGTTCTGATGGTTCTCTTCACGAATGAAGAGTGGGTGGAGGGGTATATATGGCCTCCACACAAAATATAACCGTTACACACAACTTACCAATCTCGGTGGGACCGATTTGAGAAACTCGGTCGGACCGATTCAGCAAATGATGTGACCGTTAGGATTTTCGGTGGGACCGACATGCAACTCGGTAGGACCGATATGATTAGGGTTAGAGTATAACGTAATCTCGGTGAGACCGATTTTGGTAATGGACACACAGAGGGTTGGTCAGGCAAACTCAGTGGGACCGATTTGCTCATCTTGGTAAGACCGAAACGTTACGAAAAGGAAACAGAGAGTTTGCATTGTAATCTCGGTGGGACCGATCGCTCATCTCGGTTTGACCGAAACGTTACGAAGGGAAACAGAGAGATTACAACTCCATCTCGGTGAGACCGAGATCCCTATTGGTGAGACCGATTTGCCTAGGGTTTGTGGCAGTGGCTATGACATCTGAACTCGGTGGCGCCGGATAGAAAGAATCGGTAGGGCCGAGTTTGACTTATGGTTTAGGTCATATGTGGATGTGAGAAAGTAGTTGAGGGCTTTGGAGCATATCACTGAGCATTTTGAGCAAGGAGGCCATTAAGCAATACCTCATCTCTCCTTGATAGTATTGGCTTTCCCTATAGACTCAATGTGATTTTGGATCACTAAAATAGAAAATGTAGAGTCTTGAGCTTTGAGCTTGAGCCAATCCTTTTGTCCTTAGCATTTTGAGGGATTCACTTTTCTCTTCCATGCCATGCCAATCATTGAGTTTTCCTAAAATATTTATCTTAAAGTAGCATTAGCTCAATGAGATATATGTTGTTAGAAATTACCAAAATCACCCAGAGATAGTTGCACTTTCAGAAGCACACGAGCCGGGGGGTGTTTTCTTGGGCCAAGGCGGTCGTACGCGGGTTTGGGAGTTGTCCGGACGCCCACGAAACCCCTCACGTTTGCCTCCGGTTTACGGGTGAAAACATGTCCGGATCACTCAGTGGACCGATACAGGCCCGCACTGGATGACACAACACATCCAGATAGTATCGTCCGAACGTATGCGGACGTTTTGAGGGTCGCCGTTGAAGATGCACTAAGCATCAACCATGCAAAAAAAGAAAGGAAAAGATAGAAGAAAGATGAGCCTCGCCTCATAGCCGCCTACGAAGCAGAGTACCCACCACCACCACCACCCAAAACAATAGCACCAGATGAGTCCACCCGCTAAATCACAGGCGTGTCCGTGTGCCAACCACGAACGCGCACTCCCCTTCCCCTTGCATCATTCACACGCACCACCCGTCGCCATTTTCCTCCCTTCCCTCCCTCCTAAGAAAGAAAGAGACCGCCCCGGCAGGCAGCACAGCACAGGCTGTCAACGAAAACTCCACTTGTTTAACCAACGCAACGTACGCACCCCGTTCTTTCTCGAGCGCGCCGGGGGCAACACCGCCATTCCACGCCACGCCAACGCGGCCAGCACTGGAAATAACCACCCCAACCCTCTCCCCCGCGGGCACGGGCACGGCCGACGTCGCTGTCGCGTGCGGGAACGCGTACGCCGCCCGTCTCCTCCCGCGATAAAAACCCACCCCCTCCCACCCTCCGTCCCCGCCTCGCCTCCTCCTCCTCCACCCCATTTCCCCAAAGCCTCGACTCGATCGATCCCGTCTCCTGCCCACGCTCGGCCTCCCCCGAGGAGATCAGGCCACCGTGCGGTGCAGACAGGGCTCGCCGGCCGTCCTCGCGCGCGCGGGATCGTGTAGCTACCGTCTCTCTCGGCTCGCAGGCGTACGTCATGGCGCAGCGGGACAAGAAGGTGGAGGAGCCGACGGAGGTGCACCTGCACGCCGCGGAGATCACGCTCTGCGCCAACAGCTGCGGCTTCCCGGGCAACCCGGCCACCAAGAACCTCTGCCAGAACTGCTTCCTGGCGTCCTCCTCCTCGCCGTCGCCCTCCGCCGCCTCGCCGCAGTCTCCTTCCTCTTCGCCCGCGGCGTTCCCGCTCTTCGACAAGCCGAGGCCGGCCGCCGCTGCGTCGCCCCTGCAGGCGGCGCCCGTCTACATGGCCGTCGACCGGCCAGCCGCCGGGCCGGCGGACCCGAAGGCGTCCAAGTCGTCCGTCAACCGCTGCCACAACTGCCGGAAGCGCGTTGGCCTGACAGGATTCCGCTGCCGGTGCGGCGAGATGTTCTGCGGCGCGCACCGGTACTCGGACCGGCACGACTGCAGCTACGACTACAAGTCGGCGGCCAGGGACGCCATCGCCAGGGAAAACCCCGTGGTGCGCGCCGCCAAGATCGTTCGGTTCTGATCAACAGGACACCACGTCTACGCGTACCCGGCGAAATCTGAAGCAGCAGAACCACTCTTTTCCTTTCTTTCCTTTGAAAAATTAAAGGCGTTCGCGAGAGTTTCTTAAAGGTGAAAAAAAAGGAGAGGAAGGTGAAAGATTGCGATGGGGCAGCCACGACGAAGAAACAGTGCGATGATAACGTTGTTGTTGTAGCGGTGGTTGGCGGTGGAGAGGAGATGAGGAGGATGGGGTTGGTGTGTACTGTTGTCCCACAATCTCTATTTAATTCAAATTTCCCTATTGTATAAATTATTATTATTATCATTTCTATGATGCACTATTCGTTAACTTTAGCTGTCAACCTTTTTCTCCCACTGGCCGAGTATTGTCCATGACAGCTCAACCATTGACGTTTGGATCGCTCTGTTGGATTGGTTCGGCGGAGAATTATTGGGTAGGTGCATCTGTACTTGTGCGTTTATCGCGTACAAATTCATGTTTTGAGCAAAATTTGCCAGGCGTCACCCGCAAAAATAATAATTCGCCAGGCGTATGGTGAAATCGACATGTTTCGGGTGGGAACTCAGCGTAGCACCAAAGGCGTCCATGATTTTCTGTGGATTGTGGGTCGGGGTGGTGCCACGAAGGATAGACAGCGACGCTCCGTTTTCTGCACAGACCGCTGATCAGAATTCGGAAGTAACAGGACGTCCAGCCAGCTGCCGGGCTAATTAGGTTGGCCAGCGACATCCATCCACCGGGTCACAGCTCAGGGCCGCGCAGAAGATCCGTCGGCGGGTAGAATTCAGAGCGGTGGTGGCACACGCACCGGAGACCCACCCACTTGCGGATGGCATCGATCGGCATCACCGGCACAGGTCGGCAGGCAGCACCACCACCACTGCGGCGATTTTTC